GTTATTTAGGGTTAAAACCTGTGTTATCAAAAGTGAAAAAGTTTTGGACTGGTGACCCTTGCTCCCCAAGACTATATCCTTGGGAAGGTATTGAATGCATCTACAACAATCCTAATTATCATATCAAGTCCCTGAATCTTAGCTTAAGCGGATTACAAGGGACCAATATCCTTGGCATTTAGAAATCTCTTGCTTCTTGAGTCATTGTAAGTCTACAAATACAAGCCATACATTGACACTTTCCACCACTTAATTCATATTAACTATAAGAGAGGTGCGGATTGTTTTTCCCCAGGGATTTATCGAACAACGACCTGCGAAAAAATGTGCCTGAGTTTTTGGCTGATCTAAAGCATTTGAAATTCCTGTAAGTGAGCATAAATATACATATTCTTGATCTATTTCTAATAATGAATTTGCCTCTTGACACATTTACTTTCTGTTGCAAGGAATTTGAAAGGAAATAGATTTACTGGGTTTATCCCCGAATCTCTTATGAAAAAAGGAAAGGCCGGTTTACTTGCACTCAGGTAACATGTTCTAGCATTGTGCTCAAATTTACTCAACTTGAGTCTCTCTCTGAATCTTGTTGATTTCCTCTTGTCTGTTTCTAGTGTGGATGACCAAAACCTGTGTACATCACGTTCATGTTATCAAGACAAGAAGAGCAACGTGGTCGTGCCAATAGTTGTAGTGACATCAATCATTCTTCTTCTCGTCCTGATTATCAGCATATGGATCATATTAAGGAAAAGAAAAAGAGGTGAGACTGTTGGATTTTTTACTTCATGGTTAATAAACTGAAGTTTACTTTGCTGAGAGAAAAAAAAAACAAGTGTTTAGTCTCAGGACACAATTCAAGACCAGGACCATTTCTGCCTCCCGGGAAGAGAAGATTTACATATAATGAGGTCTCTAGCATTACAAACAACTTCAGTAAAGTGATTGGTAAGGGAGGATTTGGTGTTGTGTACCTTGGGTGCCTCGAAGCTGGAATTAAAATTGCTGTAAAAATGATTAATGATTCTTCATCGACAGAATCTAAAGGATCATTATCTCAGTTCCAAGTCGAGGTAATCTAAAGAACGCGAAAACATTATCAGTTTGTTTAAGACATTGTGTTATGGTTTCTGAAGTGTAAAATGTTATGCAGGCGGAGCTTCTTTTGACAGTTCATCATCGGAACTTAGCCTCGTTTGTTGGATACTGTAATGATGGTCGTAGTATGGCTCTCATCTACGAGTACATGGCCAATGGCGACTTGCAGGATTACCTTTCAAGTGAGAATGCTGAGGATCTTACCTGGGAAAAGAGACTCCACATAGCCATAGACTCTGCACAAGGTTGGTCCAGTTTCTTGGATTTTCCAAAGATAAACCGAGATATCAAAATCCGATTTTGTATGCTTCAGTTCTGAAACCTGTTTTTTCCACCTTTTGCAGGATTGGAGTATTTCCACCATGGTGAAGGCCACCAATAATACACAGAGACGTCAAAACAGCAAACATTCTACTGAACGATAACTTGGAAGCCAAGATTGCTGATTTCGGTCTTTCCAAGATCTTCCCTGGGGGCGATCTCAGCCATGTCGAGACTGTAGTCATGGGCACTCCCGACTACATTGATCCTGAGTAAGTGTCTTCTACACATCACTGGTTTAATTTACCCTATAGGCACACATGTTCAGGCTGGTATACATCATCACAATCCATCGGTTTAGACCCTCTTTTAACCCAACCAGTTCCATCCAAAACCAGGGATTAATTTATAGTCCCGGGTACATTTTTTAGATGGAGGATAAAAAAAAAATGATTAGAAGGAGAGAAAAAGCAATTTTGTGAGAAATGATAATAATATATAGCGGAATTTGGTTTTATATCAATTTGTTACTTGATTTTTGTTTGGATCAAATTGGGATCCATTTCAATACAACTATTGGTTTTTGCTCTGCTTTTTTCTCAGCTTAGCAAGAACAATAACCAAATAAATAAGATGTGGGACTCGTAATTAAGAATCATATCTAATAAACTAAACAAATCATACGTGCATGGTGACAGATACTACCGCACGTTTATGCTTAACGAGAAGAGTGACGTGTACAGTTTCGGGGTCGTCCTTCTTGAAATCTTCACCGGCCAACGAGCCATCGTGAAAACCGAAGACGGAGGCAAAATCAGCGTTGTCCACTTCGTCGAGCCCTTCTTCGAGATCGGAGAACTTGACGGGGTGGTGGACCCGCGGCTTCGCGGCGACTTCTCATCGGACTCAGCCTGGAAATTTGTGGAGGTGGCAATGTCTTGCGTCAGAGACAGAGGGGCTAACAGACCAACAATGAACCAGATCGTGTCTGAGCTCAAGCACTGCTTAGCCGCCGAGCTGGCTCGTGAGCCACTGAGCCATGAAGTTTGATCATTTATGGTAACTAGGTTTTGTTTTCAAACTTCGTTTTTACAAACGTTTTAAAACTTTTCAAAATTTATGTTTTCAAAACCATATTGGATGCAAATTTTTTTTGTTTGTTGTATCCTCGAAATTTAAAGTAATGAAAACAGAATTTGCAAAAAAAAAGAGAAAGAAATCAAATTGTTTTTAACAGTTTAGAGCTAGACACACAAAATTATGCCTTAAAAGAGGGCCAACTCTGTCAGATCTTGAGTTTGTTTGTCGCTTCTCTTTCTCGGTTCTGGTTGTTGTCGGTGTTCTTCTTGTGTTTAGTAGCTTGTTATGTCTCCTCGTGTTTCGGCTTGCCGGCTTGGTTTACTTCCCTTTGGTCGACTGGTACGTTTTTCGATTATCCTACGTTTTCCTCTTATATATTTTTAGGGGGGTTTAGGCAGTTTTGTTAAGAGTTCTTTGTGGGTTGAAGATGCGGTTCTTGTCATTTGTTATAGTCTTGGTGTTGAAGCATGTGCCAGTTTACAAATCGTCTGATTTGTTGGCATGTTGGCTTTGCTTGCTGTCGGCTTTGCTATACGCCTTCCTTTTGGCTAGTTCTTTTATCCTTGTGAATGTTGTGTCAAGAAACTAGGTTTTGTGTAAAAAGTTTCTTATTCATTAAGTTGTGAAGGCTTAGCCTTATATACACACATCGAAACCTAATTACAAATATGTAAATAGCTAAAGAATACATAGCTTATTGTTAATTACATATATTGCCCAATA